CATCATTACAAGAGGCTATTGATCCCTAAAAAGCGTTTGTTATACACAAAATAATTTGAATTAATGGACAAAGGTGTTGTAATCAAGAGATTGAAAACGCTGAGGCACGACTATGGTCCGAGAAGGCTCAGAAAGAGAAGGGAGACAGTCTTCAGGGAAACTATGTGTCAGAACTGGTTAGTTATGCCGCTGTCAGCCTGAAACAGAATAATGCCCAAGAGCTGCGAAATATTTGGGACAGTTGGAAGAATGACAGAAAGCAGAAGTTCAGCCAACGATATGGTGATATCGCCCTCTTGCTCCATGTCAAGACTGATGAGCCCTTACTCCGAGCATTAATTCAATTCTGGAACCCTGGATATAGTTGTTTCACCTTTAACCAGGAAGACATGGTGCCTACTATCGAAGAGTATACTACTCTACTGCACTGCGAAAGCATCAAACTAGAGAGGGCATATATTAAACATATCAAGAGTCAGCCCTTCAAGAACGGACTGGCCAAGATTGCGGGGGGTTGATGAAAAGTGGGTGACTGATCGACTCCGGCACAAAGGTAGCGGGGAAGGAATCGAGTGGATCCATATAAAGCAACTAATAAAAAACCACCCTGATGAGTGGAAGACTATAGACCTTTTTGCACTGGGTCTGTACGGTTTGATCATATTTCCGAAGGCTTTGGGGTGCATTGACGCTGCCGTGGTGGAACTATTTGAGCAACTTTCTAAACGAGTTAACCCAGCACCAACCATCTTGGCCGAGACCTTTCGATCTCTCAACCATTGCCGAAGAACGGGCGGAGGAAGATTCACCGGGTGCATCCAACTCCTTCAGGTCTGGATTCACAGCCACTTCTGGAAGACTAACGGGGTTGCCTACCGCCGTTTCAGTACCACCTATTCACCTCTAGGTGAATTTATCACCCTAAAATGGCATGAAGGCGCCTCGAAGGAAAAATGGATAAAGGTCTTTACGCATCTTCAGGACCGGGATATTGTCTGGAGAGCCCCCTGGCTATTTCTCAGTGACGTTCTTTTCCGATATGGTGACTCTGACACTGTGACCTTACTTGGACTTTGGGGAGCAGTCGGGTATGCTCCACTATTAGCACTTAGACAGTACGGAGCACGTCAGTTTGTCCCAGCAACATGCGGGTTGGCTAGGTCAGAGTTTGAGTATCACGGCGACAGCTATAAGAAGATGATCAAAGAAGCAGCCGATTCGTGGAGGAAAGTATTCCGGATGGATGGATGTTGTAGCTACCAGAAGCATGCTCACTCCGGATTATGTGGAGTGGCGAAGATTAAGAAAGAATGACAACATCCCTGTGCCAGACTGTGATGACACCCGGACCATGGAAGAACATCTCAGGCATGTCCCTTCTGAACTCGAGATAGCCAAGACCGAGTTTGAAGCCGTGAATAATGAGCTGAAGCAAAGGATAAAGGAACTTGAATCTGAACGTTATCAGTGGAAGCTCGATGCTGATTCTCAGAAAGATCGGGCAGAAAAACTGGAAAAAGAACAAAAAAGAGTCCATTTTGAGCTCGAAGACTTGAGAAAGGGGTATCAAGACAAAGTCAAGGATAACTCCAAGTTGAAGGTAACCTCTGAATACTGGAAAGACGAGGCTCATAGCCTGAAAATGAAGTTTGAAGGGCCTGATGAGAAAGCTTGGAAGGAACAGATGAAGACTGCCCAAAGACGCTTGGCAGATAGTCAATATCAGAACCAGCGCTTGAGAGTTCGGATAGCTAACTTAGAAAAACGACATGAGAAAGATGGCAAGACAATAGCTGAGTTAGAAGCTATTGTAGATGGGTTCAAGAGGCAAGCAAACGAGCTTCAGATGGTGCCTTTCGACGGAGGATTACAATGGCGTTTCTGTTGGGAACAAGCACAGCGAAGGGTGAGGGCCCGAGACGCAACCATCCGAGATTTCCTGGATCAAGTGCAAAAAGCAGCCCGTCATCTTCACGGCCTAGCAAGGGAAGCGGGTGTGGTTCGACAAGGCATTCAACCAGTGACAGATGAAGGCAGAAGACTTGTCAACCTACTGGAAGCTGTTCGGGGTCTAGAGGATTTAGTCCAAATGTACCTTTAATCTATTTTTTATGTCTCTTAAAAGATAAGACATTTTTGTCTGAACAAGGGTTATTTATAATAATGAACACTTTTCTGGATCAATGCCTCCAATTGCATACATCATGCATTGCATTTCTTGCATTTTATATTTCATGTCTGTTTTATTTTATATTTTTTCCATGTTTTTACATTCGTATTAACTAACAGAACATGTCTCAGACACCGAGCTTACCACCACAAGCATCAGATACACATCATCCGCACAATACTCGAACAAAAAAGAGACAAATGGAAGCCAGAATGGAGAAGATCGAAGAGCACATGGCAAGACTTCAAAAGGAACTAGAAGATAAGATGGCTCAGAACAGTGAAAGTACTCTTGAGTCCATCAAGAAAAATCAAGAGTCCTTGGTCGACCAAATCGTAGCCAAGTTGTCGGGTCTACAACAAGCTAGTGCATCAGGGGGCATTTCTTCCGAGGGAGTGGCCATACCACCAACCCCGCAAGTGGTTATCTCACCCGGAATATTACACGGGGACGCATCTGCTACTAAAGGGAAAGCAGCACTACCCGGGGACTCATTCGTTACCAAAGCGAAAAGTTGCACCTGCTGTGAAGATACAAACTTCTACAATCATCCATGATGGCCATCCGGATGATTATCATGTCCCAGACTTTGATGAGGAAGATAAAGCCAAAAAGATGGAAGAAAAGATAAAAATATTAGAAGATCAAATAAAGATGGTCCAGGGAGACCATGATTATTATAGAGTGGACGCAATGGAGCTGAGCCTAGTTCCAGACTTGGTGCTTCCACCAAAGTTTAAAGTTCCTGAGTTTGAAAAGTTCGACGGGAACAGTTGCCCTTCAGCCCATATCACTATGTTCTACCGAAAGATGACAGGATATGGCGGGAATGACCAACTCCTGATCCATTGTTTTCAGGAGAGCCTGTCTGGTTCAGCTATTCGGTGGTACAACCAGCTTAGCCAAACTCATATCAAGACGTGGAAAGACTTAGCCAAGTCTTTCTTGGAGCAGTATAAGCATATCAACGATATGAGACCAGACCGGGTCATGTTACAAAGCCTAGAGAAGAAACACAATGAGAGTTTCCGACAGTACGCACAGAGATGGAGGGATTTATCTGTGCAAGTTCATCCGCCCTTGGATGAAAAGGAAACAAGAAAGCTGTTTGTACAGACCTTGAAGGCACCTTACTTCGGGCACTTGGTAGCAATCACGTCGGGAAGTTTCTCAGATTTGGTCATGGCCGGTGAAATGATCGAGTTGGCCATTAAACAAGGAAAGATTGAGGGAGGAGACTCCAGTAAAAAACCTCCCATGAAGAACAAAGAGCGAGAGATCAACAATGTAAACACCTACAGTGTCAGCAAGGGAGTTACGATCTCAAGCTCAAATTCCACAGCGGCTGTACCATCCGGTACTTCTAGACAGAACCCGAGAGAACCAAGAAGAGAAAGGGAAAGGGAGCAGTTTAACCCCATTCCCATGACGTATAAAGAATTATACCAACAGCTCTTCGACACTCATGCAGTGTCGCCTTATCCTATGAATCCAATAAATCCCCCTTACCCGAAATGGTATGACGAGAGCGCTCACTGCGAATACCATGGCGGTGTGCAGGGGCATTCGATTGAAAGTTGTCTCGCATTCAAGAGACTTGTGCAACGAATGAGAAACAATAATTGGATCACTTTCAACTCCGGAGCACCAAACGTCGCCCAGAATCCCTTGCCCAATCATCAGGAGACAGGAATCAATGCCATTACTACTGAAGGGGGAAGGAGAATTAAATCAAGTGTTTCGGAAATCAAATCTCCTTTGGCTTGGGTATGGAGCCAAATGGTAAAGGCAGGATTTCTTGCACCATATCCAGATATGACAGAAAATGAAGACGGTAACCATTGTTATTACCACAACAAAGAAGGGCATAAAGTGCAAGATTGCCCGGAGTTCAGATTGTTAGTCCAGCTCATGATGGATCGAAAGGAGCTGGAGTTTTATGAAGAAATTCAGGAGTCCTTGGAAGCAGATGTTTGTGCCACTGGAGAATCATCAGATAGAAAATTTGGTAGGGGTAGTCCTTTGATAATTACCCCTAAGGCAAGTATGACAGTGACAACACCAGCCAAAGTGGTAATCTCCGCACCTCGGCCTTTTCAATATAAGGACAATCGGCAAGTGCCATGGAAGTACGAGTGTCAGGTGAGTACTTCCGGAGGAGGTAATAGTAAGGTGGGGCAAAGACCACTGGAGCCGTTCAAAGAAGATGTGCTAGTTGTCAATGAACCTATAAAGGAAGAAGAAGCTAAAGAGTTCCTCAAGATCTTGAAGCACGGCGAGTACAACATTGTAGAACAGCTCCATAACTTACCTACACGTACTTCAATGCTAGCACTATTTTTAAGCTCGAAGCACACGAGAAGCGTTGTTGAATGTCCTTAATCAAACGTTCGTGCCACAAGACATACCAGTCAGCAAAATGGATCGACTGGTGAACAATATTCAAGCTGATAATCTCATCTCGTTTTCAGATGATGAGATTCCATCAGGAGGAAGAGGCCGAACGAAGGCGTTATACATTACTACCTACTGTAAGGGGCACGCTTTACCAAGTGTCTTAATCGATAATGGTTCAGCCCTGAACGTGATGCCTTTGATTACATTGAAGAGGCTACCAATAGATACCTCTCATATGAGAGCTTGTCAGAATGTGGTCCGAGCATTTGATGGGACCAAAAGAGAGGTAATCGGAAGGATCGAGGTACCATTGACCATTGGACCAGCCACCTATGATGTTGAGTTCCTTGTGATGGATATCATGCCGTCCTATAGCTGTCTTTTGGGAAGGCCGTGGATTCATCAAGCAGGTGCAGTACCCTCCACGTTGCACCAGAAAGTTAAATTTGTCATTGATGGGGCCTTAGTAATTGTCAACGCTGAGGAAGATATCGTGGCAAGCGTGACCACGAAGGCTCCATACATCGAAGTAGACGAGGAAGCGGTAGAATGTTCGTTCCACTCCTTGGAATTTGTGAATGCCACATTCGTGGCAGAAGGAAAGAGAATCCCAAGACCTCGACTCTCCAAATGCACAAGGATGGAGATCAAGCAAACCCTAGGCCGAGGCGCAAGAACCGGGAGAGGTTTTGGGAAATATTTGCAAGGAATGATCAATCCTGTCCGTCCTATCCCAAAATTAGACCAATTTGGGCTCGGTTTTCAGCCCGGTTATCATGAAAAGAGAAAGGAAATCCAAAAGAACCGGGAGAGAAGGTTGGCCAGATTGACTGGAAACGAACTCCAATGGAAGCCTATGACATTCCCGCCGCTCTTCAGAACATTCAAGTCAGGTGGTTATGTGTTTGAGACCACCATATCCGAGTTAGAAACGGCTCTGGAAGATCTGAACGTTAATGCCGTGACCACAGAAGATGTTGAGAGCAGAGATAGATCCGGGATATGCCCTCTGCCACATGGGTTTGTACCTAGCAGTTGGTCGGCGGAAGAACTACCTGTGGTTTACAAGAATCTTTCAGAGTAATATTCGAACTATCCCTATTTCCCTATACCCGGGGCAATAGGTGATCTTTTGTAAGGGTAAATAAACATTTGGTTTAAGTTTAATAAAAGATGCATTTTTCTTCTCCATGGCAAACAAATTTTTCTTTTATTCATTATCTATCTCCTTCATTCCAGTACTTCATTTCCAGTTACTCTCAAAGTTAGTTCTTGACCGTTCCGTGTGGGATATTATCCTCTCACACATACACATCTTCCTCCTTTCAGGTTCCCAGATAACGATAATGTGGGCACTGATGATCCTGATCCGGAGGTGGATTTTGAATCAACCATTTGTCTTGGGGAATTTGATGAATGCGATAATGAAGAGGAGTACAACTTGCCTACCGAATTATTGAGAATGATAGAAAGAGAAGAAAAGCAAATACTGCCACATGAGGAGGTGATCGAAATCTTAAATTTGGGCACTGAGGAAGATCGAAAGGAGGTCAAAATCGGCACAACTCTTTCGACTGAAGCAAGAAAAAACCTGATAGTCTTACTTCAGGAGTACAGAGATGTGTTTGCTTGGTCGTATCAAGACATGCCGGGACTAGACACAGATATGGTAGTTCACAAACTGCCAATCAAACCAAAATTCAAACCTGTGCAGCAAAAACTGAGAAGAATGCGACCAGAAATGCTCCTTAAGATCAAGGAGGAAGTCAAGAAGCAATTTGATGCCGGTTTTCTCCAAGTAGCCAAATACCCTGAGTGGGTGGCCAACATAGTGCCTGTGCCGAAGAAGGATGGGAAAGTACGCACGTGTGTCGATTACCGGGACCTTAATAAGGCCAGTCCCAAGGAAAACTTTCCTCTGCCACACATAGACACTCTGGTGGACAATACGGCCGGGAACGCCTACTTTTCATTCATGGATGGTTTTTCGGGGTACAATCAGATCAAGATGCATCCCGAAGACATGGAGAAGACCACTTTCGTCACAATGTGGGGAACTTTCTGTTACAAAGTGATGCCTTTCGGATTAAAGAATGCTGGGGCAACATATCAGAGAGCTATGGTGACCCTATTCCACGACATGATGCACAAAGAGATCGAAGTTTATGTTGACGACATGATTGTTAAGGCACAAACCGAGAATGAACATGTCAAGAATCTGAGGAAGCTCTTCCAGAGATTGAGAAAGTTCCAACTGAGACTAAACCCTAGCAAATGTACCTTCGGGGTAACATCTGGAAAACTATTAGGCTTTATAGTCAGCAGGAGAGGCATACAGGTCGATCCTGATAAGGTTAAGGCTATCCAGAATCTACCTCCACCACGAACCCAAAAAGAAGTCCGAGGTTTTCTGGGCAGACTAAACTACATAGCTCGGTTTATCTCTTAGTTAACCGACAAATGTGACCCCATCTTTCGTCTCCTCCGAAAGAATAGCCTTGGAGCATGGGATAAAAACTGTCAGATTGCATTTGAGAAGGTAAAAGAGTACTTGTCTCGCACTCCTGTCCTGATGTCCCCTATCCCAGGAAAACCTCTGTTTTTGTATCTCTCCATATTCGAGAGCTCCATGGGGTGTGTCCTGGGTCAACACGACGAGTCTGGGAAGAAGGAAAGAGCCATCTACTACTTAAGCAAGAAGTTCACCGATTGCGAGGTCCGATATCCTCCTATTGAGAAGGTTTGTTGTGCCCTGGTCTGGGCTACAAAAAGACTTCGACAATACATGTTGTATCACACCACTTGGCTGATTTCCAAGTTAGACCCACTAAAATACATGATGGGTGTACCTGCTCTATCCGGAAGGTTAGCCCGATGGCAGATGCTTTTGTCTGAATTTGACATCGAATACGTGAGCCAAAAAGCGGTAAAAGGCAGCGCCATATCCGATTTTTGGCAAGCAGAACTAATGAGAGCTATGAGCCGCTGGACTTTGATTTCCCAGACGAAGACTTAATGGCCATATCTTTGGAGGAAGCAAGCATTTCAGCGGACAGTTCCTGGAGAATGCAGTTCGATGGGGCATCAAATGCACCAGGACATGGCATCGGGGCAATCCTAGTCTCCCCAGAAGGGAGTCACTACCCATTTACCAGCAGACTGAACTTTGATTGTACCAATAACATGGCAGAATATGAAGCCTGTGTCTTGGGAATTCGGGCTGCACTGGGGCAAAATATAAAGACTTTGCGGGTGTATGGAGACTCAGCCTTAGTAATCTATCAGCTCCGAGGAGAGTGGGAAACCAAGGATATAAAGCTGTTAGAGTACCGAAAGCTAGTGTTGGATCTGCTCGAAGAGTTCGACGAAGTTACCTTCCACTACGTGCCTAGAGAAGAAAATCAAATGGCTGACGCTTTAGCTACCTTGGCAGCCACATTCAAGGCTGGCGGGGAGTCTGAAATGATGTCAATTAACATGCAGTCGTATGAGTACCCAGCTCATTGTTACCAAATTGAAGAAGTGAAAGACACTAAGCCTTGGTACTACGACATTCTGCAGTATATCAAGCATCGGAGTTATCCAGAAAAAACCACTGAAATCGAGAAGAGAACCCTTAGAAGGTTGGCAGCTGGATACGTCCTTGACAGAGAGGTTTTATACAAGAAAAGCCATAACCAAGTTCTGTTAAGGTGCGTCGATGCTGAAGAGGCAAAAATGATAGTGGAAGAAGTACATGATGGAGTTTGTGGAGCACATGCAAATGGGCATATGATGTCAAGACAAATAATGAGATGCGGATATTTTTGGTCCACACTGGAAAGTGATTGCATCAACTATGCTAGGAGATGTCATAAATGTCAGATTTATGGAGACAAGATAAATGTTCCACCCCATCCGCTTCATGTAATGACGTCACCATGGCCTTTCTCTGTGTGGGGCATGGACGTTATCAGGCAAATCCATCCGAAGGCTTCGAATGGTCACCGTTTCATTCTCATAGCAATTGACTATTTCACGAAATGGGTAGAGGCTGCGTCCTATGCCAGTGTCACTCAATCCACTATTTGCAAGTTTCTGAAGAAAGAAATTATATGTCGTATGGTCTACCTGAAAGGATTATCACCGATAACGCAACAAACTTGAACAACAAGATGATGAGTGCTGCTTGCGAACAGTTCAACATAAAACATCATAATTCCACTGCTTACAGACCAAAGATGAACGGAGCAGTAGAAGCAGCAAACAAAAATATTAAGAAGATAGTGGAGAAAACAACTGAAACTTACAAAGACTGGCATGAGAAGTTGCCTTTTGCTTTGTTCGCTTATCGAACCTCGGTACGAACTTCGACTGGGGCAACTCCATTTTCACTAGCCTATGGAATGGAAGCAGTGCTACCCATTGAAGTCGAGATTCCGTCTCTCAGGGTCTTGTCAGAAGTCAAACTGGATGATGCAGAGTGGGCACAATCCAGATATGATCAGCTTAATCTGATAGATGAAAAAAGACTGAAAGCCATTCATCATGGTCAAATCTATCAGAAACGAATGATCCGAGCACATGACAAAAAGGTGCGCCCGAGAATATTCCGTGAAGGGGATCTAGTGCTAAAAAGAATTTGGCCAGTCCAGAAAGATTTCCGAGGAAAATGGACGCCAAATTGGGAAGGACCTTATGTCGTGAAGAAGGCTTTCCGGAGGAGCCCTTATCCTGGCTGAAATGGACGGACCTGAGCTGCCACATCTTAACTCGGACGCAGTCAAGAAATACTTCGCTTAGGATGAAAACCCGAGAGGGCGTCCTAAGTTAAAAAAAAAAACAAAAAAAAAACAAAAAACAAAAAGAAACAAAAACAAAAAAACAAAAAAACAAAAAACAAAAAGAGAAGAACGTTTAGGGTGAAAACCCGAAAGGGCGCCCTAAATTGAGAAAAGAAAAAAGAAAAAGAGGAAAAAAGAATAAAAGAAGAGAAAATAAGGTGGGTTCAAGATGAAAACCCGCAAAGGGCCGTCTTGCAACCAAGGATGAGTCCAAGTTGAAAACCCGGAAAGGGCGATTTGGATATTAACAGTGGAAACATCCCGACACAGGAATCTTCTACAAACTCAATAAATCGGAGAAATGTCGCACTCTCCCAAACGTTGTCGCATTTTCAAAAATCCTTTGGCAAAGGCTGCATTCAAGGTCACCAAACGACTTTTCAGCTCAGAAGTGCCCACATTATCGAGATCTAAGACGTTCATTTACACATCATCGTGTATTCGTTTTCTAGAATGTTTGCCATGTATTATTTGTTCTCCTCCTCCCTTATGATAAAGACCATCTTTCCTCCAATTCCTTTGAGCATCTTGAATTAGATTAAACCTAATGGTTTATTTATTTTATAAAAGATAATCGCATATTACTGTACAAAGATTCATTGAAAAGTACAGGTAC